CCCGAAACACTTTCAGTGTCCAAATACCATCATCCTATATATCAATCTTTACCTATCAACCATTTCGAGGCTCCTCGTCATGTCTGTGATCTCATCCGGGACTCCGAACAACATTCGGTTACCAAATCACATAACTCATATAATACTACATATTCTACGAAGATCTTTATTGGTCGAACCGTTATGACAACATACGTACGTAATTCCCTTTTTCCGTCGGTATGTTACTTGGCTGAGATTCGATCGTCGGTATATCTATACCTAGTTCAATCTCGTTACAGCCAAGTCCCTTTACTTGTTCCGTAATACATCACCTCATGACTAACTCCTTAGTCTTTTGCTTGCAAGCTTATGATGTGTATTACCGACAGGGCCCAGAGATACCTCTCCGATACTCGGAGTGACAAATCCTAATCTTGATCTATGCCAACTCAATAAATACCTGTGGAGATACCTGTAGAGCATCTTTATAATCACCTAGTTACGTTGGGACGTTTGATAGCACACAAGGCATTCCTTCGGTATCTGGGGTTGCATAATCTCATAGTTGAAGGAATATGTATTTGACATGAAGAAAGCAATAGCAATAAAACTGAATGGTCGTTATGCTAAGCTAACGGACGGGTCTTGTCCATCACATCATTCTCCTAATGATGTGATCCCGTTATCAAATGAAAACACATGTCCATGGTTAGGAAACCTTAACCATCTTTGATCAACGAGCTAGTATAGTAGAGGCTTACTAGGGACACTGTATTTGTTTATGTATTCACATATGCATTTAAGTTTCCGATCAATACAATTCTAGCATGAATAATAAACCTTTATCATGAATAAGGAAATATAAAATAACAAATTTAATATTGCCTCTAGGGCATATTTCCTTCAGTCTCCCACTTGCACTAGAGTCAATAATCTAGTTCACATCGCCATGTGATTTAACACCAATAGTTCACATCGTCATGTGATTAACACCCATAGTTCACATCGCCATGTGACCAATACCCAAAGGGTTTACTAGAGTCAATAATCTAGTTCGCATCGCCATGTGATTAACACACAAAGAGTACTAATGTGTGATCATATTTTGCTTGCGAGAGAAGTTTAGTCAATGGGTCTGTCACATTCAGATCCGTATGTATATTTGCAAATTTCTATGTCTACAATGTTCTGCATGGTGCTACTCTAGATAATTGCTCCCACTATCAATATGTATCCAGATTGAGACACTGAGTCAACCGAATTGGTGTCAAAGCTTGCATCGGCATAACCCTTTATGACGAACTCTTTATCACCTCCATGACCAACAAATATTTCCTTAGTCCTCTTAGGTAACTGAGGATAAATTTTGACCGCTGTACAGAGATCTACTCTTGGATCACTATTGTACTTGCCAAACTCATGGCAAGGTACACAATAGGTCTGGTACACAGCATGGCATACATTATAGAACCTATGGCTGAGATAGGGAATGACTTTCATTCTCTCTCCATCTTCTGCTGTGGTCGGTTTTTGAGTCTTACTCAACTTCATACCTTGCAATGCAAGCAAGAATCATTTTTTTGGGTGATCCATTTTGAACTTCTTCAAAACTTTGTCAAGGTACGTGCTTTGTGAAACTCCTATTAAGCATCTCGATCTATCTCTATAGATCTTGATGCTCAATGCATAAGTAGCTTTATCAAGGTCTTTTATTTAAAAATTATTATTCAAGTATCCCTTTATGCTATCTAGAAATTCTATATCATTTTCAATCAACAATATGTCATCCACATATAATATCAGAAATGCTACGAAGCTCCCACTCACTTTCTTGTACATATAGGATCACTATAAGTCTGTATAAAACCATATGCTTTAATCACCTCATCAAAGCGTATATTCCACCTCCGAGATACTTGTACCAGTCCATAAA